TTGTCAAAATCAGTCAAAGACGATCCTGATTTCGTTCCAAATCCATCAGCTGGTTCAACTGCGCTACATGGGGCTTGTTTTGCTGGTCATTTGGATATCGTGAAATTCTTATTCCAACATGGTGCTGATTGTTTTCTCAAGAATCATGCTGATGAAACACCGATCGATAATGGACGAACGAAACCAAACATTATCAAATATTTTACGGAGAATCTTATTCTTAGTTATTCCATCAAAACCAAGGAATTACCTTATTTACCCATTCGTGAAGAAGATGAAGATTATGTGATCGATTGTTTTTGGGAATACAAACCATTTAAAGAACAGAAATGGTTTCCATTTTCCGAATCAGAGTCGGACACTCTTCAAGGATCACTGATAGTCAAGCCAGAACAAAAATTTAAACGCGAGATTCATTTACAAGTACGCGGTGGAACTTATGCTGTTTCATTAATTCAATTTCTACGTTCAGGAAAAGAAGCTGGTTTCACTCAAAAAATTGCCTGGGTTCGTTGTCGAGGTTCATCGATCTTAAATTTCAATTGTTATTGTCTATGGCAAATCATGTTTACCAAATATCCCAAAGCCGTAACAGAGCCATCGTTGACGATGTTAACCATACCGACGGCTTATGACAGTAACTTTAAAGTTCATCTTGATTCATGGTATTTCTGTGATGCCAAGACCAGTGCTCAATTAGATCACACTATGAAATATCGACGAAAATATATTCGTTTAGTACTTTCTCGTGTTTGTCATGATGAATTACTATTTGATTTACAAACATTTTCATTTACCAATGAAAGTGGAAGTGTTACCGGTTCTATTCGATGGATACCGAAGATGATTTCGAATAATTCACGCAACAAAAATAAAATTATCGGCATTGGTGATTTTCAAACATTAGCTAATTTAGACCCAATACCTTTAACTACGGCACGATTGAGACAAGTTTTACAAAAAGATGATCGGATATCCATCGCTGATGATGACGAGCTTCTGGAAAATGAAGAAGAATACGATTTCGATACGGAAGTAGGTGATATTGAAGACAATGAGAATAAATACAAAGCTGTGAATAAGGTAAAGATCTTGACTGTAACACATCTACACTCTTCTTTTTTCATTTCAGGCACCCACCACTCCCATTAATCAATCATGGTCAATACAAGATCTTGCTGATGGAGAAGGAGATCCTCAACTGGGTTCGTCGGCATCTTCGATGACGACAAGCAAATCTGACGCTTCAGATGATCTTGGTGACAAACGAATGGATGATTTTATCAATGAAGCAGCAGCAAAAGTTCGTTCATCACAACAAAATCGTTTAGAAGAAAAAGTTACTAGCAATACATCGAATGATGATGATAAAAATTCAGCTGCGATCAAAGTCCAACTATCAGAATTAGAAAAGAAAAATGATAAATTGAAACAAGATTTACAAAATGAACAACGACGAATAAAACAATTATTAGATTCAGGTAACAAACATGAACAAGACGTGGCACGTTTATTAGATCAAATTGCTAAGATGGAAGGACAACAGAAAGAAAATGAACGACAACAAGCAAAATTAAGAGCAATGGATAGAGATATCAAAACAGTAGATTATAATAATATTCAACATGAAGTGATCCATCGATTTTTAACACCGAAAGATTCGATCATTATTCGTTATTTACAAGATTTAGTAAAAAATCTCGATCCATCATTCAACGATCGAGTACCGAAAATAATCTTTGCTGGAAAAAATAATCAATACATTGTTACTGTTGTTGGTTTTCCTGCTCATCATCAAGGATTCAAAGATGTTTTACAACGTATTTGGTCGCTGATGAATGTCAT